GTAAGTAAAACGTTCGACTGGAGTCCAATGATGACCGGTAGAGTGCGTCGACGGCGTGCACTTCAGATAAACGAGGAGATAGGGCTAGATAGGCCCGGAGACTCCTGTTGGTCTGATGTCTGAGCAGCATGCAGGGACGTTGCCGAAGGTTGCAGGCCCCGCCGGGGTCTAGAAGGACGAGCGCTGATGGCAAGACTTACCGATGTGTTTGCTGAGCTCCCTCATGAAAGATACGCAGAACTTGCGGATCTCGTTGTCGGACTTGCCCTTGGGATCGAAGTCGCATCCTCCCTTAGCACCGCCCATGTTCAGACCGGTAAGGGCATTCTTGAAGATTTGCTCGAAACCCAAGAACTTGAGGATGGACAGGTTGACCGTAGGGTGCAACCGGAGACCGCCCTTGTAGGGACCGAGAGCAGAGTTGAATTGGACGCGGTAGCCCTTGTTGACGTTGCAGTTGCCCTTGTCGTCTTCCCAGACAACGCGGAACTGGATGATGCGCTCGGGAACGGAGACGACCTCGAGAGCCTTCTTGTACTCGGGGTTCTTCTGGAAGATGGTGGAGCCCTCGAGGGTGGAGGCGAGCTCTGGGAGGAGTTAGTTAGGTGTCGTGAAGCTACTGAGCACAATTGTGCCCTGTTCGAGTACGAGACAAGTCCCAATGGCTCAACATGTGTAGAAGTGCGTACCCTTGTAGGCTTGCTCAAACTCAGGCTCAGACATTGTGAAGAAGTGTGGTGAGTTATGGGTATTGATGTCTGAAAGAAGCTGAAAGAAGAATGAGGAATGTTGCAGAGTTGAGTTGTGTGATAGAAACGGTTGACAAAGGAAAGAAGGTGCCGTATATATAACAGAAGGCGCGCGAGCAGCTAGAGCTTCTAGTAGCTGGCGGGGTCGCGTTTGCAGTGTCAGTCCAAAAGCAAGCAGATGCGATTTCTATCACGTCAGAGGGCGAGCGATTGCGTCCGGGCAGATGCTCTCAGTGGCCAGGCAGTAGTTGCTATGCAAAGCCATGGTGTACTTTGATGCTGATAAGGACGCGCAGCCAATCACAGGCGTCGCGGGGGCGGCTGCACGTGAAGTTCGCGCGGGCTGCGGCCGCTCACGGCTACTGAGGCTGGTGTAATTGAGCGTCGTCATTTCATGGGTGAGTCTACCAGCTAGGAGAGGGGAGTGAGGGCCAGCCGATGGTCGGCGCGGTCGGGCGGTTACGTTGCGCTTTGAGACTTGGGTGGGAGCCGTGGAGGACGGCCTCGCGCGTGGTTGAGCGAGCCCCGCGGGAGGCTAAAGGCTCACACACCCTTGTCGCTGTTCTCGGCAGTGCAGACATGAGGAATGCAGTTCACCATGCACGCGACACATCTCCGGCGTGCTGCGTGCGTCCTGCATCGGGCCTTCCGTGGAGTGCTCGCGGCCTGCTCGTGTTCATGGACTGTATCATACCATCTAGATTCTACTGCGCTGTCTACCATTGTGTCGGGTCTCCATACAGCCCTGCCAATGTCGCACATATCCCACATCTCCGACGTCCACCCATCCCATCTCACCACCCCCACGCCCGCTATGCTCCCGCCACATTTACTCGCAGTCTGTAGGGTCCCAGTCTGTTGCGCGAGCAATGTTAGTAAAGGGTCCGATGTCCGAATATCGAATGCCATAGCGTCGCCGACTTCGCTCGCCTCGTCTACGTCGGCAGACTCAGGAAACACTTACCAGTAACTAGATATTCGTCGAGCTGATCCATCTTCGCCATGTCGTCGTCGTCGATCTTGAACCCCCCAACTTCGGCATTCTCGATGATCCGCGCCCTCTTGACGCTCTTCGGGAGGGGCACGTAGCCATGCTGCAGACTCCATCGGACGAGTAGTTGCCCCGACGTGCACGAGTACTTCTTAGCAAGAGACACAATGGTTGGATGCTTCATGCGCAAGGCCCGGACAAGTGGCGCGTATGCCTCAACAACAATGTCATGCTCCGCGCAAAAGGAAGTGATGTCCTTCCGCGTATTGAATGGATGCACCTCGATTTGGTTGACCGCAGGCCGGATGCGCGGACTCGAGTCCAATAGCTCTTGAAGCTGTAGCTGTGTCAGCGAAGTGAATGGACAAACGAATACAGCAGTAGACACCGGTCAAGTCCGGCGTTGCCTTCATGAGGTTGAACGACGAAAGCAGAGGCACTCGCAGTCGGCTTCGAATTGTGATAGCACAACGACTTTGATACCTCCAGCTGCACGCCGTCACCTATAGTAGAGGCGCAGTCCGGGCTAGAACGGGGCAACGGTCGTCGGAGCTTCGAGGTAGCTTACCATGCCTTGACCCCCGTAGTTGCTGACGCCCCCCAAATCTTCACCTTCGCCGACTTCGGATTGGCGTCTTCCCACGGCTCTCCAGCTGTCAAGTCGCGCTTCCCTTGCCACCATATGGGGAAATGGAGCAAGGAAGAGATCAATATAGCCAAGGCCCACATTCTTTGACCGACTGCTTGATGGCTTTTCTAGCCGCGTCATATGACCCCATTCGAAGCCAGTTTGGACGTGAAATGGATGTCCTGACGTTTGAGACCCTGTGTATTCTCCTCACTGGACAAGAAATCCAGCACTGCTTTTCCAGACTCCTGCTCATTGTGATACATCTGAGCCGAGTCTACCCTATAGCGCCATTGTCAATGGTGTGGCAGATAGTGGCATTCTAATTCCCTACCCGCGATATCCAACCTAGCTGCATCAGTGTCTGGCCAACTGGTGGGGCTTCACAGGAACAGGTAACGCATACCGCTAGCGCGCTCCGGACGGCCTGGTAAGTCTCCTTTCCGGACGTCAGGTAGACGCCCAGGTGGATGGTGGGCATCGACAAGCCATTGGCAAGCTGCAAGGGTCAACGTGGGCGTTTTTCTGTGCAACGGGGCTCAAGACATGCCTTGGTGCGTGAAGCTAAGGAAAATGTAGTCTGCGCCATGGTAGAGATATTGCGAACTATGTTGTGCATAGATGAGACGGATCGGGATCTACGATGCTGCGGAGACACAGCCACGATACTGACAGGAGGGATGGGCGTGGAGATGTTCGGCTCATGCTCGTTACATCATCGCCTCGCTTCTCGCTTCTCGCTTGTGTCTGCAGGGTCTGTGTTTAGCACTCAGACAGGACACACCACCAACGTCTATAGCAGAGCGGTGACTATGTCCAGAAATCATGGTTCGTCATTGACCGACCGAAGAGGGACGGAAGCAATTCGATATTTTATATGAAGATCGAGACTGTGGAGTCTCCTGTTCTGAAATCGATATGATATCTGACACCGGGCTTGGTGCCGTGTCGCGATTCGTACAGACTCCTCGGCCGGCTTGAATGGCAGTGCATGCACTTAGACTGTTCCCTGGCCAGGCTGGGATTGAGATATGGACGCGTTGCAGATCGGAAAAGCAAATACCCATCTCAGAGGGAGGCTGCGGCGCTGACCAGCACAGCGGATGTGGTACCTTCCGCAATGGGATGACTCCATGACGGGCGACTTCCTTCAACGTTTGCTATGGTATCGAAAAGTCGCATGTGGTACGACGATAGCAAACCTTGTGCAGCCTCACAGAGGCGTGAAGATCGGCGACAAGATCTGTTTCTATGGCTTGACTCGATACCAGTGTCGTAGAGCGGATGCGCGTGCATGAGGGGTCTCCAGGTGGCAGCCGCCCGGCGCCCAAACATCGCCAACGCGGCAGGCACCAGTCTAACGTCACAGGCGCCCGTCAGGCCTGGGCCTTTCCCTCGATCAACATGACAGCACACGGCTTGGGGGTATAGTCCTCTCGCAAAGGCTGGTGGGCATCCGGCTTCGACGGGTCTCGATCGGTAGGGCAGTTTCGCGCCTCGGGCACACCGGCTTCCTCTGCATCTTTACATCATCCTCGCAAAACACCGGAGGAGAGATCAGAAAAAGGAGGGCAGTCGGCAGCTGAGGCGCGTACTGCCTGCAACCAACGAAAGTGCGCATCCGACAGATTTACGACGACGATCAACAATACGGAGCTTCCGCAATTGTGCACACTACCTTTTGGCGTGAACCATCACCGCGAAGCCACCATCCCTAGGGGTGCCTCCGCTGGGACTAACCTCGCGCAGCCGCCTATTGGCTCGGGTCGCCGTCCTGGGCCCAGGAAGGATGCAGTAAAGGCGAGTTGTGGCTCGATCTGATCAACACAAGGATCATTCCAAAAAGTTGTCGAGCGCTTCAATAAACACACGCAAAGTAAGCTGGCGGCGCCCACCGACAGCCACCCCGTACACGTCCTGGAGCCTCAACACTGACTTCTGGCGAGTATAAATCTCTGTATGCGCCCGTCTACTCCAAATCCTCATCTCTCGGCACCGAATAGCAGCACAGTCTTGTAATATTCGCCTCGTGCTGTCGTCATTGACTCCATTACTTCATTAGCTTGGGACCCTTGAGCCCTTAACTACTTTCAACGCTCGCTAATCAAACGGCGCCAACTCCTCTGGATCTCATAGTCGTTGCCGTGGTACAAGTGAGTTTGACATATATTACATGACCTCTGCGGTCCTCGAAACAATTCGCAGCGCTAACAATTTTTCCTCGCAGTAAACAACAATCTCACCATGAGCGGCCTGCCTGGATTCACCACCAATTTTCCCGCAGGATACCCCACGTTTAACGCAAGGGGAGGAACTTTTGCCGGCAATGCAAGCACCTCGTCCGGTGAATCCCCTGGCCAGAGTAATGCTTCGGTACCACAATTCGACATTTTTGAATGGCATCCCGCATATCAGTCATGTCAGAGATTTTTTCTAGACCACGCACAGCATGACAATGGTGTACAAGCTGTCGCAGCCCTCATCAACATCTGCCTCCCGTTCCAATGGACTACGAACCCACTACACAATTCCTCAGGACCGCTCCCTCATAGTTCGGGACCAGCTGCATACAACCAACCATGGCCGCGACAAGGTCCCGTATTGAATTCCCGGGGCCAACCTGCTCCAGCCTGGGTGTCTCTGGTTCCGTTCATTCGACGTCTTGTCATCACGGGCATGGACAAGGAGGGCATCATGCATGGCTTCTTCGGGGATGATTGGAAGAAAGGCGTGGGGCCCGTGCACGAGTGCGAGCGCCGAAATTACCTGTTCACGGCAAAGAGCGTGGGATGGGCAAAGGTCAAATGCCAGTACGATATGTCACCACACGAATCAGTCCCTTTCCTCAAGCCGCTACAGGACGTCCAACTGCCTGAAATTGAGGGTGCCGAGAAGACTTGGAGTCAGTGGCTAGCAATGGAAGATTGGATGTTGGGTGCAAGAGCCCCGGAAGCAGAGGATCAATCGCTAGATGCTCGTCGACGCGCATCATGAAGACAGGGTTTGGATTATGGCGTCTTGCGGCGGTGATCGGCACCCAGATACGGATGCGACGCGCTGGGTCGTGCGCGATGTCGTGCATAAGTCAATGGAATCGCGTGGGCTGCGGGGATTCGCAATTCGAGGCTGACGGCGGTCGGGTTACACGACAGCAGTCTCAGGGGCGGCGTGAACTCACAGGCACTCAGCAATGCTAGGAGACAATCGCGGAGGTAGATACTGGGTTTTACTATATTATACGTTTGTTTGTGGTATGGGAGGCATATCGTGAGCATTAGTGCGGTCTAATAAATCATTAAGTTCATCACTTGATGAGCCTCTGCTGCTGTGTCTAAAGGCTGTCACCCCTTCCCGTAGATAGCAATGCCCTCGGCCCAAGTGCTGGCACGTTACAAGTATAGCTCAATCCCTGAATGGTTCCTCGCGCCCGTGTTCAATGCGGCCGACCCGTGTGTCGTCAAGTCTGACAGCAGCGGAAAAGCAATGTGAGCCAATCAGTGCGTCTTGACTGACACGAGCAGGCCAATCGCCGGCATGGCAACATCCGACTGACTATGGCGAAAAAGCAGCAGAGTGGCTTGCGGTAATTACTCGATTTGTGTCGAGTACATGGTGCGTCCAGTGAGACACCGCCGAACTGTCCTGCCCGAAAGATATAGCGGCGCTCGGCTAAAGTTCCGCGGTTTGGGCTGGTGCACCGGCCTCATTATGTGCGTCCCTGCCAAGCAAGGAACAGTGATCTGCAAAGCCCCGAACACCATTCTTCCTCCACGCATCGTTCTAATTTATTCTTTCAGCTGTCAAGACACGCTTGGCACCGTCGCGTACCGCTAATGGAACATGGCTTTGATGATCAAAGAGTGGACGCTCTTCTTGGACCGATGCATTGAACAACGAATTCAGCCTGATTTGTTTGCGACGTAGCAGCTGCACAGTTGCACGCAAAGTCCCCTCTCCCCGGCCTGAAGATTGCTGGGTTACTTTTGCGCCCCCGCGCTGCGAATGCTAGCAGTGTCGATCCACGTGTGATCATCTATCTCGAAAGACTACTGGCTTTGAAGAAAGTGGACGCGTCAGACGTCCTATCTTCAGCTTTCCAGTACTCAAAGGACCGACTACCCAAAACTGGTGATGATGGATCGTCGAAAGATTCGGGATGGCACAATCCCCCGGAACTGGAGGAAGTCGTCTTTCACCGCCTCTCCAAGGCTTTCCAGGCGGAGGAACGGCCGGTGAACAGCACCGAAGGCTTGCGGACGCTTGTCGTTGTGACACGATGGATGCAGACTATGGTCACTTCGCATACCAGCGACACCATGATCCAGGCCATGGCTGGTATCCAACAGCAGCCGCAGCAGCAGTCGATTAATGTCAGAGAGGGCCTCGGTATGCTTGTGGTTGGCGTAATCGAAAACCAAAAGATGCTCAATATCTTGAACAAACACCATATCAAAAGTAGGCAATCTTTTACCGCGTGATCATGTCTCAGCTGGCTAGAGGATTGTAGCACATGTCTGGTAACAACCACTGATTGATGTCTAGATCTACGTAAAAGCTTCGCAAGGTCATTGTCCTCTTTCATCCCATTCCTGTCGCATAGCTCCATAGGATCGCAAAATTCTTTACAGATTGCAAGTCGCCTGGGAGATCTCGCAAAAGCAACACGACTTTCACGACAAACCTGGCCACTGGTGAATGGAGAAGCGAACGGAGAAGCCGAACGGAGACGCAAGACTTGAAGTCGCTACGCTCCAACTTTGAGGCGGTGGATTGGATCTTCCCCACCATCAACACAAGAGCTGGCCTCTATATCTTCTTGAACTCATTAGTAGGTGGCTGCTATGCTGTACGGCTCATAACTGACAACTAGCAGCTAGTTGCACGACCACTTACGGACGACTACACTATTATTAATTATTTACACTCACGGTACAAGGTGTGCAGTTCATCGATCGTCATTTATAGCCGCTGACGTGTGCAGATTGACTCCCAAAACATGGCTACCGATCTCATCACTGCTGCCTTCGACATCCTTGCGAATGCAATGTATCGCAGCGAACCCAGCCAGAACATGTTCTGCTTGAAGTCCTTTCTCATCAACAAGATACCCATACTTCTCTTACAGATATCCTCGTCGATGTTCCCCATGACAGCGGAACTCAGCATAACACAGGCGCTTAGCCATGTTGACCCCAACGCGTTTCCTGCCTTCTCACAGGGCTTCGACGACATGCTGGGTAACACCAACTCGTTAGCTGATGTTAGGCAAGACTTTCTGAATGCATGCGCACTGCACGGGCTTATCACTACTGCGACCGTGGAGAGACTGCTCGGAGAGACACCTATGCAGGGGCCACCTGGAACCAAATACGACAAGAGCACCCTGCTCGAGCAATGCAAAAGCAACTTCGACAAGATCAGTATGTACATTGATGAACTCGACAACCTGGACGGAAATGCTGGCGCTATTGTTGGTGCGATCGCAGAGGTAAGAAATCAGACCCGTCCAGCCCGTACGTGCTAACTTTTGTTCAGTTTATTCCGCATCTATGTGAGACACAGATGACCATGTACCTGAAGCAACTATCAAGCTTGCTGTTCAAAAAGCCCCAAGCTATCGACGTCATTCTGCAATTCACCTCGCCCGCTAGCATTCTTCGACCGTTATGCCAGATCTTGGATGATTGGCATTACGACAGTGATCAAGGTGAGCAATGCTAGATCTCCCTAATGCCGCCTTTTGCTGACTTTCTAGGCGAATACCAACCTGTATACGATGAATTTGGCGCTGTCCTTGTCCTCGTCATGACATTCATGTACCGCTACGACCTGACATATCATGATATCGGCATTGGCGCTGAATCGTTTGTCGCACGATTGATGACCAAGGGCAATCAAAGCATGCTCCCCGATGAGATGACCGACGAACAAAGCAAACACCTTGGCCACTGGCTCAAGGGATTATACGATGCTGGCAATGAGGGCCTCAGCAACGATGTCTTTGCGTCCTGCAGCCCTCGAGAATTCTATTTTATCGTACCGACACTCTTTAAGCAGACTGTCATGGCATTGTCGGCTGGCATTTTAACATTTGAGTCGGTCAAAGGAGGTTTGGAATGTCAGTGGCTTTTGGTGTTGAGTTTTGCAACACTGCTAATGCTTTACAGATCTCATGGAGACATTCCTGCTTCCTTCACTCATTGGCGGCCTGATCTGGATGTCTTCGTACGCCCTCATACAAAGTCACAGCGACTTGGATGCTATAATGCGCATCTTTCGCGAGGTCATATCATCGGCTCCGTCTTCTGGTGATGCTCAAGCGATGCACTCTACCATCTTAAGCATAGTCTCTAGTCGACTGGAGAAATGCTTGCGTACTATCCAGCGCCGCGATGCCAGCCGAGCAAACAGCATCGAGCCGTTGATCCAGGCGATCAAGGGCAATCTGCACAGCGAACGCTCAATGTTTGCTTCGATGAAGGAGTTGGAGCAGTGGACCAACGCGCCCAATAGTACGTTGCATACATCCTTGCGCCATACGGTGCAGCAACTATCACAGTGGGCTTCCACATCATCGATACAACCAAATCCACCCAGCTACACGCACAGACAGGTGTACGTATCGCTGAAGATTATGGGTGCCAGTAAGGTCATAAAGGCAATTGTCGATGAACTCAAGGCCCAGACAGAGGCAAGTAATGGTGCAGCTGCCCTCGATGTTGGCGTTTCAATCATCTGCGCGCCCACTGTCGACGACAGCCCTGTACCTGTAGCCTGGCTCAGCAGCCCGATCCCTGCATCAAACCCACCTCGAACACGCCTAAATCTACGCGAGATGCTGAAGCACGAATTCGACAATGCGGCAGCTCTCGTAGCTACCGATCCCCTAGCTGCAGAAACAGTCGTCCGGCTCCACCGCCGCGTCGAAGCACAACTCTCTTCAATCGCCGAGAACGCGCTCCAAGGCCATGGATCTGTCCTCAATCTCCCTAACGTCAACATGGGTGATATGCAATCCCAAAGCATACCCGACGACATCACCAAAGCGATTGACGACGCAGCCGCTGCGAGTATCGCGGACGATATCACCACCATGGATAATAAGGCCCTTCAGCGCAGCATGGATGACCTTACTGGTCCCGATGGCTTGGATCTCAGCAGCATCGGCATGGGCACTGGCGATGCAGGAACGGGCGACATGGGTGCTGAGCTTGGCAACTTGCCAGATTTGGACCTAGGTGACATGAGCGGCATGGGGATGGACATGGACATGGACATGGCCATGGGCGGTGGAGGAGATGATGACTGGGGCTTGGATTTTGATAACATGTAGGACATGTTGTTCAGGTGTTGAGCGTAGACGCAGTAGACGCTTTGTCGTAAACGTACCCGGCGGGGGCTACTTCTAGAGACCGGTATTTCAATCAAGTATGTCTTTAGGCCCATAGATCCTTCGTCGCTCGGCTTGCTTTTTCGGAGTTACAAATCATGATGTACCTCGGTAAGCCATAAATAGCTGCCGTGAGTAAGAATCGCGGGGCTGCTTTATATCAGAAAGAGAGCCCCACCATATCATCATTAATGTACTCCTGGAGGGCACAGCAACCACAACCTTTTCAAACACACATTTTGCATTCTTTCAAAAAGCCATTGTCTCATCCCGAAAAGTCTTCGTCGATACAAACGTGAAGATGCCGTACGATCTCAAAGGCCGCAACGTCCTCGTAACCGGTGGTTCCGCGTGCGTCTCCATACTTCATCACCATCACATGCATACTTCAATAAAATCTCAGTAAATCAGACAGAGGCTGATGCAAAATTACAGCGGTCTCGGCGAACTCCTCAGCACAACTTTCGCCACTCACGGCTGCAACATTGCGATCAATTACTTCAACCGCATCGAGCCTGCGCAAAAAGTCGCTGCAGCGTGTGAGAAGTTGGGCGTTAAGACGATAATCATCAAAGCCGTGCGTAACCATTTCGTTCGATGGGTTTGAGAGTTAAGCTGCTGATGTGTATGGGGGAACGGTAGGATATGACACAGACATCCGAAGCGAAGCGCGCGGTGCAAGAGACGATTGAGAAGCTGGGTGGGCTGGATTTGATTCTGGCCAATTCTGTAAGCACCCAATTCTGTAAGCACCGCTTCCATTCTTCTGTTATGTGTTATGCTGAAGTGTGTGGGGATGATGTGCGAGCTGATCGGTGTGAGTAGGGATGGACAAGATTTAGCGATTGGAAGGATTTGGATTCGATGAGTGAGGAGGAGTGGGATAGGGTGAGTCATCATATGATTGTGCAAGGCTTGATTGATTTACACAGCTGCAGTGCTGGTCCGCGAACGTCAAAGTGCCCAAAGCCCTTCTTTCCGAAGCGCGCGCAACTTTCGAGGCGAATCCTGATGGCGGACATATGATCACCACTGGCTCAGTAGCGGTAACTCATTCAATCTCTTCTTCTTCTTACTACTTTGTGAAGGAATGCTTACATATATCTAGGCAATCAGTCAAGGCGGCTCCAGCATGCCCTACGCCGTAACCAAAGCCGCACAATTCCAACTCGTGAAATGTCTGGCCGTCACTGTCGGGCCCAAGATTCGCGTCAACACTGTGCTACCGGGTCTGCTTTTGACGGAATGGGTGAGTGCCACATCAACCAATCCATTTCGTGAGACATACACGCTGACAAGACATCATCAGGGCAACAAGTACTCGCCCGAGCGCATCAAGCAGATCAAAGACGCAGCGGTGTTGAAGAGTGAGGCCGACTTGCAGGATTGTGTGGACGCTTTTGTTATGCTGGCGAAGAATACGAGTATGACGGGCATGCGGATTCAGGTTGATGCGGGACTGAATGTTCAGGCTGCTTGAACTGATTGGCTTTCTTTGCAAACTTGAAAATGTAGTATAACGTCTATCTACTGAAGTCTGATTGGTGATGTCCATTTGGAGGCTGAGTGCTCTTAACCAAATGGTAAACACTTGTATATTGTGGCTTCTAGCAACTCGGTTGGCCTCTCTCAGCCTCATGCCCCTATCTCTAGTATATAGCACTAACTACCTTCCTTATTCCTTCTATGAACCATCAAACATGGCGTGTGTATCAATTGGAGAAGCGAATCCAGACATCGCTGGAATAGGAGTAAGTTAAAGTTTCCGGCATGTAGTACAGGGACTGACCGTCATACGCAGAGTTTGGTCGCTTTTGCTACGCAGTCACTCGTTGCAGTATTTGTATCTTGCTACACCTACCTCTTAACCCAGATCATCTGGTGGAGGCGTGAATGTGCTAGTGAAGGATCGTTATTTGCACCCGAAGACCCGAACAAAAGATGGATGAAATCAGGTAGTCCACAGTTTTTGATTAGAGCATTAGCTTGGACCTTGCATGAGCGACTGGAAGGTGAGGACATGTTGACGCCGACACTGAAGAGGTTGAAATTTGCGAACCGGATTCTGCTAGCTGGAAACGACTCACAGACGTTTACTGGTAATATGTCTCAGCCTTTCTGGGAATGGTAATGAATATTTGCTGATGGTGGTGTATAGGTATAGCGCTACTGATCAGTGCGCTTGTACAAGCGAAGACCTTGAGTCTGTATCATATGCATGTCCTATACGACGTTATTAGCCTGGTGGTGTAAGTACCCATGCGCTCTTGCAATCCCGGTCAAGAAAGACAAGACTTAATTTTCCAGTATATCCAACTGCGCCGCGAGCACATCTATCTTCAGCGAAGGTGTGTTTAAAGGATACATCCGAATTTCACTGATAGCAATCTGGGCCACACTCTTCATATCCTACTTTGGCGTCTTCGCCGCCCACCTCCAAGATTGGAACGACAACTTGCCACAGCATTGCTACCAAACGGCCAAGACCGCTCGTCCAGGTGATCCGCACCCTCGCGTCGAGAATATATACATCGGTATCACGTTTGCATGCACTCTATCGACCCTTTGTATCGCAACCATGTACGCGCTCAAATCCAGATCTCACCAGCGCACCACCCACGCAACCATTTCAGCTGTAAGCGACGAACAGCGGCGCTGGTTCGCCGAACTCGATTCGGCGCCAGATCCAACTCAAGCAGCCGCCAAGTTCAACAGGCGTGATGCCGGTCAACTGGCGCAGCAAATAGTGCTTAATCGGGACTTGCTTGCGTGGCAGATGCAAGATATGGTTGTTCGTGTTGCTCTATTTCAATGTCCGCTGCAGATTTACAGTATCTTTGCGTTGAGGAGTGCGAATGAGAAATCTCTAGATAAGGGGAGTACAGAGCGGGAATGGGGATTTGGGCAGATTGTATCGATGGTGCTGCTTGGCATGATTGTGCTTTCTGTTGCGGATGGGGTTACGGGTGAGTTGATGTTGGGAGTCGGTGGAATAAATCTGCTAATGATGGAGATAGATGTCGTTCGCCGGGAAGACGGGGATGTACTGGAAGCGGAGATGGGGATGGTAAGTGGAATCATTGTGGAACACGTCCCAAGCAACAAGCCTGCTGTCCAGACCGCCACATTGCAAGCTTGACGCGTAGGCATTGCAGAGAGAGAGTAAGTGGAAGGCAAGAAGTATGAAGGCGAACACAACGTACCACTTGGGGGAGGTGTATTCCTCTGATGGTTTCCTTTTTGCAGTGTTATAAGCTACATTCCGGATAATACTGAGCAATTTGGCTAAGTGATAATGGGCGTCAAATTTCGTTCTGCTAGGAGCTTTCAGCCGGTCTGGGTCACTCTTTTCAATTGCTATACATCCAACACCGACAACTTGTTCTTCTACACACAGCGATAGAGCACTAACTACAAGGCTTCGACTTCGAGACTGGCGTTCAATCATTCGAACCTTCGCCTCCCCCTCCTCAAGCTCACCGTCTCCTCCACAGTGCCAAATCCCAACTTCCTCTCCTCAATCTCCAGCACCTCCTCAATAGCTAGTTCGCCATACCGAATCTCCAAACTCTTCAGCTCCTTCGATATGCTATCTACCCCCAACAATCGTTCCTGCAGCACCATTTTCTCCATGGCTGTATTGCCCCTCGTCGCCATCATGACCTACAAGAAGCCGCCATCTGCCGCGGGTATGCCGTTCTGCCACAACGACCAGATGGCGATGACAGCAAAGATGGTAGCGGCTGCGAGGAAGATGGAGTATGGGAGGATGAGATTATTTGGCTTGGCGAATGAGTATATGATGAGGTAGCGGGTAGTGGCTACGGGGACCATGTCCCACCATGTCCCGAGGGAGAGGGCGGAGAGGGTGATCTTTGTTAAGACGCCGTTCAGTAGACCTTCTGTGATATTCAAAGCCGTACTAGGATCTTAATATCAGTCCCAGTGATTATACAGAAATCTGTTTGGTTGAAAGACGGTTCCTTTCAAAGGAGCTACGTGTTAGGTTAGTACTACAATAGCGTATAGTGTAAGTGTTAGAATTTACCACTATTATTTGCAGGGTTGTAAGGTTTAATGCTTCCCCAACCCCAACAATCGCTGATATCTGTGTCGTTTTTCGAGTTCTGCCTTTTCCGACACTCGTCTGGATATGGACGTGGGGAGTCTTCGTAAAAGCTGCCCTCGAGTGAAGATCCCAGAGCATCTAACAATGCCCACTCGTTTGATATTGGTAGTGCCGTAAGCATCTTCTGACGCCACTCTTCGAGGGCCTGTGACTCAGGTGGGAGAACTAATGATATTCCCAGGGACCCTTGAAGTCCATCGTATAAATCTTTCTGTTTCGGTAGCGACCTTGCATCACTCAAAGAATGCTGAATCGTCTGAATGCCACGCGGAAAGGTGACTTCAACAGCATAAAGGACAGACGTTGGGTGGCAGGACTGCTCGGTAGTTTCGACAAATGCTTCGTAGCTTGTCGTGTTCTGTTGACTGCGCTGCACAGTATAGTTGCCTATCCGATGTTGTATTACAGAATATAAGTGAGATATTGCATTCCACTCCGACACAAAAACCAGTCCGGTTAGGGCATCATCAGTCTCGTCGGTATTGCCTTGCGTTCTATATTCTAGAGGAATGGATCCGTTATATCGGGAAACAGTACATTTATACTGTGGTGCTCTGAATTGGAGACGAAACGTCGAATTCTCCCCTGGCTGTACGAGCAAGCGGAACACTTGGTTGTTGGTTATAATAGATTGTGCAATGTTCACCAGGGACTGCTTGGGTGCTCTAGATATTTGATGTTAGCATCAGCAAAGAATAAAGTCTGAACAAATCACATACTTGTACCAGAATTGTCGGCTTCGAGGACCTTGGTTATCGGCTTCAAGGGTAATAAGTGGGTCATCACTTAACGTAGGAAAAGTGTCATTCGCGGCTAGATCCAAATTCTGCGGAATCGGCGGGTTCATCACAGACATGTTGTAGTTCTCAGTAAATGTGTTAGCTTCGAATGTTACAATCAGCGCGCCTGGAGGGTAGATAGTCGCGAATCCAAGGCACCAGACCAGGAGAGCCATAAGGAAAAGCAAAGGTGCCCTCAAGATGCTACGTAGGTGGCATAGCGCGAGTATATTAGTGCGAAGGGCGAAAAGCTTATCAATTGTCGAGAGCGATGTTGCCTTTTCACTAAGCACGAACCAAAGATGTTGTGCGAAGCATGTTCCAATGCTAGCCGTCAGCGCAGCCTTAAAGAGAGTGGTGAAGAGGATCGAGATGGCAGAGACTTCAGATTGCGTAAGGTAGACTTCATCCGTGAGCTTGCCGTCCAGGTACCGGACAAGACGGTAATGCCCAAGAGCCGAGAGAAGAGCTGCGGAAAGTCAGAAGCGTCTGTTTGCATGGATGGGCGCACTTACCTGCAAACAAGAAGCCCGTGATCATCCCAATATATTTCCAGTGTACCTCACGATTAGGAAATTTGTATCGCGCAGCTTTTGCACCGCGCGTGCTGTTCGGCCTCGATGGCGCAGGAGAAGTTGAAGGTGGTGTCTCAATATCATCTTCCATGTGGCTCACGATATCTATTTCATTCCGTTGATGTTCAGAAGAAGTGTGATCTGACTGATCTAAAGAGAGAAGTTCGGCGGCTTCGGAGACAAGGCTGATGATGTGTCCGCGTTCAGAACTCGAGTTGGGTCTCAAAATCGTTGCATGACTTTCTTGGTCAGAAATGGATGACATCGCAAATGATTCCCAGTTTTGAGGTGAGCAAGAGACGGTGCAAAATGAGTAAGGCAGAACTGACACTGATATTTCCCTTGAAAATAGGACAGGTTGAGAGAGGCTCAAGTTGCACAGCAGTATTGGAAATGTGCTTACTTGTGGCGCAGCTACCGGTGAGCGTCTATGCATCCTCGAAGGCGGAAAGCATGTCAGATGGTGCTTATACCATAGCTAGCCAGGGTGCAAGGCTGTGACGCTCACGCAATCGGCGGGGTCTTATTTTAGGTATACTGCCAGCTGGTGAAGATTGCATTTATTTCAGAAAATAACCCTGCGCTCTATTAGCGATTTGCCGGTACTTGTAGACATGTCATCTGCTGTCATATAGGGTAGCAGGCTGAAAGACCACGAGGCTGTCCTTTTGCTCATCCTTTCAACCCAGGGACTGGAGGTCTAACACTCATTTGGCTTTCTTTTTGTAACTTTATAAGCTGATCCCCGCGCAGTACTAAACGATTTGTTTTACGGTGGTAAAGGGCGTTGGATCTTGCATTTTGCCAACGTCGCTCAACAATCTTGGTCCCTTCTTTTGCCAACATTATTAGGCATACCCATGCACTCCCCTTTCACATACGACCATAGGGCGTTGAATACAAGGCTTCCCGTCCGCTCAGCCATATTTAAGCAGCGCACCGGCGGATTAGTAGTCAGGTGGGTGACCACTGGCGAATCCCCGCTGTTGTATGTTTTTGCCATTCTTTTTGCTCTTCTTGCCAGCCTGCCTCTTCCTGTACATCGTCTCAATAAACTCCAAATGCGCCTCCAATCCTTGTCCATCTCTATCCGTGTCCTCAATCACATGTACTGTCACTTCTGGGCACGGCGTTCCTTCTCGCACACCTGCTACAACGCTGAAGTAGAACCGCGCATCTTCTTCCTCGTCGTAGGTATCGCAGCACCGAAATAAAAGCCTGCGCAAAGGCAAAGCATAGTCATGTACGGCTTGTAAGAATTATTTAAGTGAGACTGGCTGATCGTTGAGATTCTCGACAACGAGCAGCGGCGGTGGCTCTTGTTCGGCTTGTTGCCAGTGCTCCCAGCTAAGCAAGGGCTCTAGTCTGATTCGCAGGCGAGACTTTGATGGGGTGGTTGCTGGCGAGCCTGCGATGGCGTTTGTCAGAGGTGTCCATTGCGGCTTGTCGTCGGTAGTATTTCTGCTTCTGAGGGAGGGTCGAGGATAGACCATTTAAAGTGGGTGAAGACTGTGTTCATGGTCGTGCTTGGATGGGGCGGTGGTGGTGGTGGTGGAGGACCAGGTTGGAGAGAGCCATTGTAGGATTGAGTTGTTTGTCCGTGTTCTGGTGTCCAGATGATCATCGCACTGGAGTCGAAGTGGTAGCCTGATCAGATACAGTAGTAGGGTTGAACACGCACTCGAGGAATGGGGATGTAGCGATGATGAGGGAAGGGGCGCAGCACGTGTAGCGGCAAATGAAACATCCCAGCGAAAGGACCAAATTAAACGCACCAACCAAGAAGTCCTACCATTCTGAGTTAGTTATAGGCGATGCCTTATTCCTCGAATGTGTCTAAACGGGCGACGAAGATTTGGTGTCGTGGCTTTCGTTTCGTTGCAGTTGATCGGGTATCATTCATAGATCTGCTCCTCTTGCTATTCCTCCTCGACGTTCTCTGTCTCCTCCAAAGCTCTGACTACCTCCTCCATTTCCTTCGGGCTCGTGATGCCCCAAACTCCGCCTCCCTTGACTGCGCCCTTCATGCCCACTTCTTTGCCGACCAAGTTTCTCCCGACCTTGCCAGGTCCAATACCAACATATCTCCGAACCTTCTCCACCTCGTGTAAGTACTTGACACTCTTCCACCACTGCACCGTCTCGACACAGCTTCTTGCGAGCAGGTTCTTCAGCTGTTCTTTGTCCTCGAATGGCTTCCCGCTGACGTTGGATATGCATGGCATGACGCCGGGCCATGTTATTATGTCGCTCCCATCCTGCCTCTCCTTGTGTAGAATCTTGTGCATAATCTCCTGCGCTGGCTTCATGAGCGGGCTGTGGAACGGCGAGTCGCTCTTCAATCGTACGTGTCGTGGGTCGTGTCCACCAAATTGCCTCAAATTCGCCAAGAGGGTGTTGATCCTCGCTATGCTCCCACTCAGCACGATCTGATTTTTCGAATTGAGGTTCGCGATTGCGACTTGCTGCACGGCCGGGAGATGTTCCGCCGAGTCGCTTTTCGACCCCGGGCCCGAGATTTCGAGGAATTCGCGCACGCCGGTGACAAGGGACTGCATGTGTTGTTCCGACTCGCAAACGAGTGCTACCATGCCGAATTCGCCGCCTTCCTGCTCGACAGCGTCGGCGCTGCATTTGCTCATGACTTCTGCGCGCCGCCGCACCATCTTGAGCGCATCTTGGAATGTGAGATAGCCGCCTGCTACCAATGCCGCGAACTCGCCCAAGGAGTGGCCTAGTGTGATGTCCACGCGCTCAGCGGTGTTGAAGCCGAATTCTTGCTCCATGACTCTCAAGATCATAATCGACGTTGCCATGATGGCGGGCTGCGCGTTCTCGGTGTGTGTGAGTTCGGCATTCGTCCCGGATTCGATCGTCTTTGTAAGGGGGAGATTGAGCGTCGCATCGATTTCTTCGAGGATAGGCTTGACAGTTCGTGGGAAAGCTTCGAGCCATGGTGTACACATTCCTACGCGCTGGACACCCTGGCCTGGTGTTTGTTAGCATCTCTATTGTGTCACAAATTTAAATGTTTAATGGAGAAGATGTATACCAGGAAAGAAAATGGCCGTCTTTGGCCTCTTCGTTGGCGCATCCTGTGTGCTACTCATCCATCTCCGAGTTGCTCTACTGCTGCCATGCCTCGGCCCGTCGCATCGCGTTCGTCTCCGCGATATGCGCGGTATCAGCTTCGAAATTGGGGAATACGGCGAGGACATGACGTTTAGAGGGTGTTATGACAGCTGGACGGACATGGCGCGGAAGTTTGGTCGTGGTCCACGTTTGCGGGGATGCGGAGGCTCGAAGCGTGGGGGAAGCTCATTGGGAGGGAGCTTGGACCTGAACATGAGTCGCGCCTGACCGAGGTCTTGCTTTTCCGCGTTTGACTACTAAACTTTACTGACTTATTGCTTGTACTGCCCTACTTTGGGATTAAGTTATATTCTATGAAAGCTAGAACACAGTCGTCCATTCCTTCAACAATTCGTCTACTTCGTCAAAATCCTCGCCGCTTCCACTCCAAGCTACTCCTTTGGACGCGTCAACCGTGACGTCTTGTAATGCGGAAGCCCTGCGTCTTGATTCACTAACCCTTGAGAAAATCATCTCATCTTCAGACCCTCCACTCACATCTACAGAGCACTCTTTTGCTACTCCCGCAGCACCTCTCGAGCCAGTAATGTAGGGAAGTTTTCTCTTCGTGGCCTTCCTTCCAGCTCGACTTTGCATTTGTGTTTTGCTCGATGCTTCTGTCGGCTTGGCTAGTATTTCGAGCACATCTAAATCTTTTCCCTCCTTGTCTCGCTCATGCTCGTCGTCCTTGGGGCTCATGTCGGCGGTCTTTTTTTCACCGTCGTCGTATTCTTTCGGTTCGAAATCTTCCAGTACAAGCGTAGGTGTGCCAGGTAGTTCTGGAGAGTCTCCCCTGGCAGAAGCTTCTTTTTCTTTACTCGTAGACTCTTGCCTACTGAGCATACCCATGGACAATGAGTTGATACTCATAGCGCCAAGTTTGCGTTTGTCATCCTCGTCTTTCCAACTCGATTCTGGGTCCATTTCCTCAGAGGTTGTGTCGGTGTCACTTAGCTGCTCTTGCAATTCTGTCCGTATTGCTTCGGGTGATGCGAGCACCTCGGCCCGCTCCACCACGTGCATGGTCCGGGCGGGTTGGACGACTGCTGGTCCCTGCGAGGCATAAGGGGCGGGCTGTCGGTTGTATACCGGTGAAGGTGTAGAGTAGTAAGGGTTGGGGTCTGAGCGCTGTGATATGGTGTCTGAGGGATAGCCGGCGACATTGCGGGTAGAGGCAGTCTGCTGTAGTTCAGGTCGACGAGGGCGGGGTGGAAGAGTGTTAAGCCCGCAATCGGTGCAATTGAGGTCTCTGCATTCTAATTCTTTATGGTCGCGCTTCTCTCGGGCGATAGTTGGGCGGCGCTGATGGGCATGGCGTCGTGGCTTCGACGACACAGAGGCAGTACGTGAGAGAGGCGTCCGGCTCTGATGAGAGCTGCTCCCGTTACTATGGTGCTGTTCTGACGTCCTCTCAACGCTGAGGTCTTTTGAGCGCCGTGTGCTAACATTCGCCTGCGCGGTTGGCGACGACCTGCGCGGGAAGCCGTCTTTTAATACGTGTCCACCTTCGCTCTCATCCGAACAGTAGTCCTCCACTTTTGCCAGGTAAGTTCCGCTGCCCATGTCGGGCAGCAATCCAGTGACATTTTGTTTGCTTCCGCTCGATGTTGAAGGCAGCGAAGGCTTACGGGAGGCCCTCTTCAGAGCCGCCTTGTTGATCTGGTCGGCGTACGGGTCACGGCTGCCTCGAGTCGCATTAATGTACTCCTCCGCAATGAGCTCGGCTTTTCTGCTCTTCGCGTCTTCATTTACTTTGTTTGTGAGGTTTGTGTTCTCCTGATTATCGATGAGTGCCCAAGCATCATCTTGAGATACTTCCTCTTCACTTTCATCATCATCTTCTTCCTTGTCACTGTCATCGTCGTCTTCCGAAAGACTGGACATATAGCGCTGCTGAATTTTAACACTATTAGCTCGCTTGACTCGTTGCCTCGCAGCATCATATCGACCCTCGGCAGCTCGATCTTTGTCCTGGCCGGAAGATGCGCGCTGATTAGATCTGCTATCATTGACAACGATGCTCGCACGGCGAGTGTTATATTCAGATTGTGTTGAACGATGTGGCAAAGGGCGAGGAGTTGGACGGCTAACTGAGGGGCGCCGCGTTGGGTCAGCATTCGATGCAGGTGCTCGCTCCCGGTAACGGTGTCGTTCCCGTGGATCAGCTCGATCGGGTACGATGATAGACTGCCGACGCTTCTCGCGGCGATTAGCTTCAAGGTGCTCAACAACCTGCGTTGTCTTCGCATGGGCAAGAGTTGGACGACGTTGGCTTGTGTCCCGCCTGGATTTTGGCGGAGGCATCAGAGCGCGGGCAGCTCGCTCTTGTCTTTGACGAACCTCACGTTCGTCTTCTTCGTTCTCGGAGTATTCGGACTCAGAAGATTCCTCAAAGTCCTGTTCTCCGTACTGCAACGGCAAGGTCTGAGACGGGGAAGGCCGGGTGGTGGGTAGTGGGGCCGATCCATATCTCGCTGAGTATTGGGATTGACCTTCTTGTGTGATAAGAGGCGCAGAATATTCGCGCTGTGTACGACTTGACAAGGGGCGTCCATAGGGCGGAGGCCCTTGAGCATAAGACGGCTGATATTGTTGAGGGTTATAGTCGTGAGGGTAGTAGCTGGTCTGTGAAGGTACGGGCATTCCCGGGGCCCCAAAATGATCAGGATCTCCAGCAAAGCTTTGCAGTCGTGGACGCGAAGCAGACGGTGCACGACGAGGTCGCGCCGTTTGTACCACTGCTGGGCCGTGTGTTGTTCTTGGTGAGAAATAAGGGTTTGGATCCGATCTCTGCGACATCATTTTCGAACGAAGTCGGGGGCTACGAGAGCCTGTAGTACTTATTAATGACATTAGTCGCAATGCAGAGCTGAGATTCTTACTTTTTTCAGAAACGTTCTCGGCCTCGCGTCTTCTTTGACTTGCAATGACGTATCTATCGTCGCTGGTGGCACTGCCCCTCTCGCTTCGATAAACAGCTCCGCTGCTACGAGATCCATTACCTCCAATGACCATGTCAGTCGTTCCACTCGCAGCTGGTACCAACTGCAAAGTGCGACCCTCCATATCGCCGCTCAATTGAAGACTAAGCGGCATCGTCCCATCGACACGAAGCCTGGGTTCGTTGTTTGAAGTTGAAATAGACATAGCAGATGATGGCCGATACCTTCTAGACGATAATGGTTTACGACGGTGATAGGTATCGGATACCACCGGGCTCTGTGGATCGTGCGAGCCTAATGTAGGGCGGGTATGGGCAGGGTGAGGCGTGTTAGTTTCAGATGGTTTAACAGCAGTATCTTTACCTGAACTCTGGTCCTGTAAGTCCATTACGATCGACCTGTAAAAAGGTTTTGAGGTGTTCCGCTCAGTATTGATGACCGGCCAATCGTCCTTGGTGATCAAATGAGACAATGACTGTCCTCGGCAATCCTCATATTGTGGACTTAGCCGTAGAGGATTCTTGCTTGAAAAGTATTGCGGGCGGTCGTGTCGAACATCGCCGTCCCATGTTCTTAATCCGGAGATTAGGCCGTCATGCGTTTTGTCATCGGCGCTGCTGTGCTCGACTAGGGCTTCTATAGATTCGGTTTTCGAGTTGTCGCGCAACTCAGTCGGGCCGTCACCAGGAGCGGGATCACTGTTAACATTAGGTGTACTTGATGAAGGTTGCGGATTCGAGGTAGCTGTTTGTGGAGGTGATGGAGCTTCTGGGTAGCCGCTGCGACCACTCCTCTCATCAGTTGATATTCCATGCGATGATGCTTTCCTTGGCGCAATGTTGGACTTATCATCTACACTATTCATGTGTGATTCCAGTGCAGCATCCAACTCGGTGCGGACGGTATGGATCGTGTCAGAAGGAGCAGACCGGGCGTCTACGTCATCGAATCTTCGCCTGTGTGATTTTGTCGATACAGACACATGTCCCGCAGACACTTTGCCTTTCGTTGTGCCGAATTCAATGACGACCTCTGGTCTGATCTTAGCACTGCTGTGCGCCGATGCAAGTCCACTGGGTAAGGAGGGTTTCTTAGTCGATTCTACACTCGGTTGTGTGTCAGTCACTAGATCCTGTTGTGGTGATCCACGGAATATGACACCATCAAGATGACCACGAGCAAGGAAGTACGAGTCGATGAGACTCTGATGATGTGTGGAATGATCACTTCCATCGACTGCACTCGTGAGAGCTTGTTGTAGAGTTTCGATGCTGTCCAGCAAACTTCGCACGTGCTGTACACAAGTCTCGAGAGTTTTTGGGTTGATGCTCGAAGCGATCGCCATGGCCGAGAGAGGAGCAGAAGGGTCCTCGTCCGCAGCTTTGACCTGAACGGTCTCTTCCACAGTTTCTGTGTCTGCATCATCCAGCAGGGTTTGACTACTGCCATCGCTGATGCTGAAGTTCTTGAGCGACTCCTCGTACTTCTTAGCCGACTTCTTTTTGAGTTCGATCAGCTCCTGAATTTGAGCCTTTGCCTCAGCCTCAGCTTTGCGATCGAGCTTCTTAGTTGCGACGTGGTGTGCGACAGATAGCACACCCAGTAGGAGTGTCAAAGTATCTTTTAGCTTGTCGATGTGGCTTCGCAGAAGTTCGATCTTGGTGTCTCGGAAAGGAAGCATCAGCCGTCCGAAAGTGTTCTTCTTGCTCTTTTTGAGCGTTGCATCGATCTCGGCAAACACATCAGAACACTCCTTCATTGTCTCGTCCGCCGTTTTGAGAGCACCCTTGGAAATCAAAGTCTTCGTTTCATCACTCTTGAAAACATTGCCCAGCTCTTCAATAACAAAGCTAGTTAGCCGAATCTCCGTTGCGATATCCTTGATCCTGCGATCCGCCGTTGCCACTCCATCAACGTACTGATAGAGTGTATGTGAGAGTTTGAGCCCCGCACCAGCGACCTGGAGCGTGTCAGTAAGAGGTATAGGACGAATTATCATGTGTGCAGAGCCTTATACCTGGACGACACTCGCGATTAGCCCGATCTCTGCCATAGTGAGTAGCCAACATCTGTCGATTCACCAGTGTGATATCGTGCGCTCAGCGAAGAGCCGTGCTGGGAAGGGATATCATGCGTGTCCTTACGCAGCGTTTGAACGTATATATTGCATTGCGGCTTGTTGCACAGTGTCAACCTAGCGAGGCGAAGTCGCGAAACCCGAGGCGGCTGAAGCGAAGCTGACATGATGTGTGGGGTCCAAAACACCCTCTGTTCTCGAACGCTCTTCTCGCTCCTGGTGCATGTGTGCGCAATATCTCATCGCGATATAGCATTTGTCGTAGCCTATCATCAGAAACTGGTCACATCGGATGCTATTGTGGCTGGGATGCGGATCGCTGGACCCTCGAAACAGGTTCGCAGGCATTTCAGGGTTCTTTCGATGGACTAGAACCGGCGTGCGACGATCGCATTGTGCAGGTGCCAATTACTGTAAAGCCGGCTCTCCTTGCGCATGCCGACGCCAGAATTTCTTTGGCCGGAACGTTCAGCGACAGACTAGTTCGTCACTACGCTAAGAGGGAGTGGGACAAAACCTGACAGCTCAGAACCGCACCGACGCAATCGAGCGTTCGACATCCCTGCCTCTCACCCGCCACATGCTCGACCGGTGGGTGATCGTCAAGATGTGAGTTTGTGATTGGACGCGCCACTCAGCCGGCGCCACAATTACCAGAATGATATCATGGTTGCCGGCCTGGCTGAGGGGCCCTGCTTAAGCCTTTACTCCCCCATATGCTCCTAGAACAGTAGAACGACTGTCGAAATATTTTGCTCCATCCGATTTATTCTACACAAGGCGCAACATTGCGCATCTGTCCCAAGTACACACCAACATGGAACAAGACCCTAGACCCGCCAACAAACTTCGAAAGCGCAGCAAAAGCCGTGACAGGCAAGGCGTTACCATGTCCGGCGGACTAAGTGGTCACCCAGCGAACACTTTGCAACCAATGACATCTGCAAACAACACGACGTCTGCTGAAGAGAGGAAGAAATCGAAATTCCGTCTCTCAAACCCCTTCCACTCGAAAGAGAAAGACAGGGACAACATGAGGAAAGATACCATCGAGCCGCCCAAGGAGCACAACCCCAAGAGAGACACAGTTGACACCAACTTTGACTCAGCGTACGGCAGCAGCGAACCGAGCAGTAGCGCCAATCCAAGTTTCGCAAGCAATGCGAATCGTGCTTCTCTCGGTGAACCGTGGAACCCTCCCGTGCAGTCTTCACAGGCGCCTGCAGCTATTAGAACACCACCGCCTCAGCAGAATACCCTCGCTCCACCTCCGGCGCACTCTTTACAAAACCGATCTAGTCATGAGAATATCTCAAGAGACACATACCGCGATGCTGGCACTGGAAACATTGTTACCACCACAACTACTGTATGTTAGCTCTGAGCAGTCTGTGTGCGGCCTCCACTGACACTCTCTTCATAGACAACGACCACCACTACTACGACCACTGGCCCGGGTGGAAGTACAACTGTGGAGCAGCCTGTCAATAATGGCGCGTCTCAGGGAGATGGAAGCATAACCAATACTTCTGGACCAAGTCCACCATCACCAATGCCTCCTCTTCCACCTAGCGAGAACCCAGTGCCCGGTCTCACTCCGCCAGGTCTCACTCCGCAGACCTCATACAACGACGGCACCCCGCCAATACCGGCGACCCATGTCAATCATATCAATAACGTCAACCAAGGTCAACATCAGAACCAGCCTCCGCCGCATATCACGATTCCAGAGAACTCCTCACCTCCTATACCACAGAGAAACAATATCAGGAACCGCTTGGAGTTGGACTCTGTCTCGCCCGCCGTACAGCGACCGAACCCCATGGACACACCTGTGAGCCCGATTACTCCAGGTAGTCCCTCGAACAAGGCAAACTTCTCGTATCCATCGAGAGCGCCTCCTCCGGGCGTCCCACGACAGATCCCCGGCCAACTACAACCTGGACAGATGCAAGCTGGACATCAACAACCAACTCCGCAGCAATGGGGAGAGGCGTGGAGTACTCAGCAGCACAATGGTTACGATACTGACGCGAGCCGTCCTATTCCTTTTAGAGCGGGTCATACTCCCCAGCCACCGCCTCAGGGTGTGCCTCAGAAGCAGGCAACTTTGGCTAGCTTGAAGGCAGCAGCCCACGGTATCCATGTAAGTTCAGCCTGCGCAAGATATGTTTGTAGACCAACTGACGATCTTCGTAGGGAGCTGGAGAGGCCCTGCGTGGAACTTTCAATAACACTGTCGACCGCCGTTTCGCTCCCGCAGACTCCGCTGTCCACGCGAAGAACCAAGCTGTAATCGAAGCTGGCCGATCCGAAATCGAGTCACAAAACTTCGCATCTCGACCGCGACCACCCGCAGCCGATGCGCCTCCGGTACCGCCGATTCCTGGGAAGCAGCCATATTCTGGCCCCGCAATATCTGGATCACAACTTGAAAGCGGTGGACGAGGTGCAGGGAAACTGAGTGGCTTCATGAAGAAGATGAAGGACGGCCCGATGGCGTCGAACCGGGACGGAACTGTCGGGACGCAATAGACAATAGAGTTTGGATATACCTACTGAGGGAACCAAGGTGTTGATATATCATTGTGATCGACACCATTCCGCTGCCAAGATCTTTTATTTCGCACACGAAGACCCTTTGACTGGCGCAACTGATTAAGACTTTCTGGTGCGAGAACATCCCTAATTCCCTAGTCATTGAGGGCAAAAGTGGTACGTTGTGTCGTGAGGGAGCTTCTCGGATGTACTTTGAGTAATTATGAATCCATGTCCGATCCTGGACAACTTCGGCAGTCCCCACAACCATGGCGAACAGCATGTGAATGGAAACGTGATTGCATCTGGTGGTTTGACAGTGGTTGGCCATCCGGTGCAAGCTGACATAGCGTCGCTTAGCGCTGTCAAGTTTCGAGGCGCCGCATCGTTCTCGTCTCCATCACTCTCCACCACACATCGACAAAAGATCCCCATCCGCGTCGCGGGACGGCCTTGTTTCGCGGAAACGACGGTTAACGATTGAAGGGTCGGGGATTTCTTGCCGCCCGCAGATGGGCGCGCGCATCGTCTGTTTTAAGACTTGAAACACCATCCCCACTCGCGTTTCAAGCGCTGTGAGCCAATCGCTACGCGACAGTCACACCTTGACCAGACTTCGCTAGAGCGCCTCAATGCCCAAGGAGCCAGGATTAGACTGCTGTTCTGTGGGCGGGAAAGCAGGTCTAGTCACCAATTGTTGTGTTGTCCATGTTGACAGACGCGGTGCTAAACTCTTTTGAGGCGCCCGTCTCGTGTTTCATACCAAAGGTAGTACGGGCGCAAGGTTAACGACCGAGTAATTTGAGCCACTGGATGCTGTGGAAGTGAAGGGACCCTGCGCGTTGAGCCCGATCTGGTTCTATTGACTTCTTCGCGACAACGGCAGGTTGGTCTAGGCGAGACACCGGGGAGATTTTGTTCCTCAGGTTCCCCGTTCACCTCGACCTTTCCTCCTTCACCACAGTTCTCTATTGTTCTTTTCTGTTGCTATTGTTGAGCGAGCAGCAAGCTGCCTACAGCGTGGATCGCTCTCCTCACCTCTTAACTTCTTACACCTTACTTTCTAACTCACAATCTATCTCGATCTTTTTGATCACCCTTGCTCGACGCGACTTTGAACTGCTGGACAGCTCAGCTATAAATCTACACCATCCTTAGCAGTCCCAGCGACCTCTGTCAATCTTTACACATTCGAAATGGCGCTTCTTTCAGCCGAGCACCTGGCTGGACCAGGCTACATTATCCTCAATGTCATGCGCGGCTCTGAACATCATCGCCTTGGCTTCAGTCGTTGCCAGCAGCGTTGTCATGCTTGTCAAGACCTTCATCATCTCCAAGGTAGGTTCGCTCAATCCGGAATGTAGGCAGGAGGCTTACAATTAGCAGTTCTTCTTCTTCGACGCCTGCAGTCACGTCATCACAGCCATCGCTGGTCTCTTCCTCATCATTTCAGAATGCTCGCTCTTCCGCAACTTCTTCGCTCGCAATTGGCCTCTTCTTAGCCCGGCTCATGGTTTCGTTACCTTGGGTTGCGCTATGATGGCCATTGGACTCAACCTGCTCGGAAACATGAACAAGCAAGCCACGAGCCAGGAGTCCCTGGGTATGCCATTCTGGCGCCTACTTGTTGCCTCAGGCATCTTGTGCATCGTCATTGGCTTCTTCAACCTTGTTGCTGTAAGTGATCCTTCACCATTTCTTTCTGGGCATAAGCTAATTCACATCCAGAGCTTCGTCTTCCGCGATAAGGCCCGCCACATCACTGCCCGCGCCGTCCGCGCTCGCGGTGCCATGACACTCTCCGAATGCGACGTCGAATCGCAATACGACCCCAAGCATAAGGCCTTCACCATCAACTCCCACCGCACCGGCAGCACACGCAGCAACATCGGCTGCACGCCTTCCATGCGCATGGGCACTCCCCCCATCGACTGCGGCTCTCCCCAACTCGCCTCACCCACCGAGCAGAACAATCCCAACCGCCTCTCCCAATTCAACTTCAACCCAGTCAATGCATTCCGTACCGCCCGCCAGTCGTTCCTTCCCAGCTACCACAGCACATCTCCCACCAAGCCTTGGGCTAACCGACCCGCTTCGTCCATCTACTCCCGCACCACCTCTGGCGAGACCCAGAAGAAGCGCTTCTGGCAGCGCAAGCACCAGCAAGAAGACGAGGAGATTCCACGCGTCCCTGAGATCTCGTATCCGTTGAATGTCAACCCGCAGTTCGCGCATCTTGTTAAGCCTAACCTTGCGCATCACCCGAGTGTGCGTAGGGGCGAGGACCCGGACTTTAACAAGATCTGAGTGTGGAGAGCGATGGGTTGTGGAAGATGAGAAGAGCTTTTATGATACCACTTTTTCCTTTTTGTTATCTGCGGCATTGTTTGGGATGGGTGGTGCATGGCGTTGTGGAAAATAAGTTATTTGATACCAAGGACGGTCTTAGCTGTGAATACGAGGTTGGATGATCGACTCTCTGCTTTATGTAATGGATCTACTCGAAATTATGGTGTATATGTTTACAACCAATTGTTGATGAGAGTCTAATCGATTTGCTTGCTCAACTGTAAATCATCGACGCGAGAACTTGGATTGATCAAAGCAATACAAAATCACCCCCCTCTTGGCATTTACCTCGCTTACAGCCTTCGCAAAGGTGCCGCTCATGTTCTGGGCCTTTCATTCGTCCGTAATATGGTGGCACCACACTCACCCCTGCCCATTTCTTGATCCTATATGCAACCCGATCGATATACGATTCTTCGTCCAGCACGAACATCCCTAAGCATCTGCAGGATCTGCATCTCTGGTTATATACAACTGCACTGTACCCATTGCCACCATATCCTCTTATCTCAATAGAGACCTTCCCACTGCCCCAGAATTGTCTTTCACAGCCATTGTTATCGCACGTGAAGCTGCCCGTGACGTGGGTGTGCCATTCGTGACGAAAGGTATCGTCGTCACTGTCTTCGTGGAATCTTATTGAGGTTATCTCTGGCGAGACTGCTTCTGCAATATTTGCATGGAGTGCTGGAAACATGAAATGCTCTCTCATTTCTGGTGTAGATTTAGGGGCGTCTGTCTTTGCTCTCTTTGGTAGTGTGGTAATCATGAATGGATTTGCTGAGACAAGAGTTTGGGGGTGACGTTGGGTGGCAGGCGTAGGCATATTGACGATCGAGCACCTGGCCATAGCGTAGCTTAACGCGGCCTCATCGCGTGACGAGTCCCACGAAGCGTCCGGAGCGTCCTCTGAACATTCTTGGTAGCGTTGAAAATTCCATTTGTGTCTTTTCAGTGCTTTGTTACTGCCGAGAAAGCAGTCGCAAAGCTGGCAGTAGAAACTCTTCTTGTGCACAGGTGAGGCCTGTTCGTGCGTTTCGAGTGCATCCTTGCTGCCAAAATAGCGATTGCATATCCAGCAATGTATGGTTTTGACGTGTATAGGCGAGGTTTGTTGGTGTTGTTCGAATGCTTCCTTATTGCCGAAATAACGATCGCAGAGGGTGCATGAGTAGTTCATCGTAGAGATAGTTACAATTTTTCTGTTCGTTTGAACACAAGTCGTGACGGTAAATACAGATATTGGAAGTACTAAGCCGAGTCCTTGAACGATACATGGAATGACGTTGCTTCCAAGTTGTGCAACTTGAAGCTTCTCCTCTGCCCAATGGTGCAAGAACACATGGTGAGATACGTCCCACAACATACCAAATGAAGTGTATCAGCCATCTTAGGGGTGCGGGGTAAAGGTCGCACGCTGGTTAGACCTTGCAGAAGATCAGTTGTGCAGTAGGCCCCATACATTCCGGGGATCAGCTGTCCGACTCCTCTCTCATTTGCACTGGTTTCGCATCAATCTGTTCAAAGGATACAAACGCTGGGACCTGTAAGACAACGATTTTGTGCGAAAGTAGCTGCTTTAAATACAGGACTACCGAGCTTCTTGCGCGACATGGTAAATGTATGGTAACAACCGGATGAAAATAAACAGAAGCGAGAATCAGCCATTGATAGTAAAGCGAATCATGCACGTGTGCGGCGCGGTAATGCCAACATCACGCCACTGATGCAATCTTGATCTCCCAATACCCTGTCTCCTTAGTATTATGGTCACCAAAACGCTCGACTCGCCCATCATGCATCGTGTGGTTATGAGAGCTGATTATATGAAAGCATCATCAAATGAAACGATGAAAAGCGAGCTAAGACCGGAAAATTTCGAGATGCAGTTACTGTTAATATTGTAAGAGAAGTACCTCTCAGGAATTATCTGGATTGCATTTCTACTGAACAGCTTAGTACGCTGAAGCATCGTCATTACGCATGCAGCATGTTTGGTGCTTACTGGCCCCTGATAGCGGGGTATCTTGCTGGAATGTGACACTGTACAGATAGTTGCAGTCTTCATGGAGGCAAGATGTGCGAACGTCGAATGTTCGCGGCTGCCTGGGTGAAGTAAAAATTCCAATTGTAGGATTTCACCGGGGAAAGCAAAATCTATGGCAAAATGGGTCGCGCTACCATTGCGTAACTTACATGTGCTAGTAGCTCACAGACATCGCAATGTACATGCCTCACAGTTACCGGAACGCGAGCTACGCGAGGCAATCACGTATAAGTGAGGAATATTCCAGTGCTTAGCCTATCTCTGAGCCGAACAAGACTAGTCAGTCTAAGACACTCCCACTCAATGGTTTCTTCGTGCCAGATGATCCCCATGATCGTGGGAGTAGGAATGTAAGCACGCTTCTGTATACTGATGGTTGGCTCTTCTGAGTAGAGTAATTCCGAAACGTCAGCGCCGCGTGTGTAACAGAAGGACTAATGCAGACACAAAGCTACTAGGATTAGGATGCATACCTGTTGGACTGATGTTATGTATCTCCCTAAGTGCACTTTACCGAGGTATCAATCGTCCGCCATCAACATTATGCTCGATCATAACATCTTGCTTGAGTCTGCATGCTAGTAATAGTAGGAATATGTTTGGATTGTCCACGATGCTGCTTGAGGACCGAGCTCTACGTCCTAGCTCTTGTTTGTTGAATATGCAAGGTAGATCTCATATCCGGTGCCACGTCAACAATGATCACCGCGTCTGCACGGCACTGGTGGGTGTGACAGTTGACAGCTTCCACCTATGTCGAAGACCTGAGCCACTTCACATTCCTACACAACGTGCTTTTCCTCCATACTTGCCGAAACAATCGTCAATTCCCTCCTCCTCGCTAGCCGCGGATAACGTATACCTTTCTTTTTCACACACATACAGCGAGCATATCGCGTACCATTGTCACGATACGCAATGGTTGTCAAGTCATTCGATAATCGTGTACTCGATGAGCTTTGCTCAAAGGATCAACTAGATCTTCTCGACTCAGTAGATCGTCTTCGCTCCCAAGGCATCGATCATTACGTTTCGCTACCACAAATTATTGTTTGCGGAGATCAATCATCCGGAAAAAGCTCTGTTCTTGAAGCTATCTCGGGCGTCTCCTTTCCTGTGAAGAGTAACCTATGTACTCGATTTCCGACTGAACTGGTCCTTCGAAAAACCCCGCACGTTGGCGTTAGCGTGTCCATCGTTCCGGACCATTCTCACAACGAAACTGAGCGTGCATCTCTCAGCAATTTTCGCGAGACTCTCGAAGGCTTCCAAGAGCTTCCAGACTTGATCGAAAATGCCAAAAAAGCAATGGCTATTGGCAGCTTTGGTCGAGCGTTTTCTAAAGATCTTTTGCGCATCGAAATCTCTGGTCCTGACCGTCCTCACCTTACGATCGTGGACTTGCCTGGTCTCATTCACTCTGAGACGAAGCAACAATCTGAGGCCGATATCGATTTGGTGCAAGACGTAGTCAAGTCGTATATGAAGGAACCCAGGAGTATTATACTCGCAGTTGTGTCGGCAAAGAACGACTACGCCAACCAGATTGTGCTCAAACTGGCTCGAGCTGCTGATAGAGCTGGGAATCGTACGCTCGGTGTCATCACAAAGCCTGACACGTTGATTCCAGGATCTGACAGTGAGGTCATGTACATGTCGCTCGCCCAGAATCTCGACGTAGAGTTTCGTCTTGGATGGCATGTTCTCAAAAACATGGATTCAGAGACCGGAGCCTGGTCACTAGCCAGGCGTGACGGAGATGAGAGACGATTCTTCACAGAAGGCGTATGGCGGACACTTCCCGAATCAATCCTCGGCATTGCGCCGTTGAGAGAGCGTTTGAGTAAACTACTTCTGGACCAGATTGCTGCGGAACTTCCTAGCCTTATAGAAGAGATCGAAACCAAGTCGACTACCTGCCGCACGCAACTTCAGATACTCGGTTTACCCCGAGCCAGCGTCGAAGAACAACGCCTTTATCTGCTCACACTCAGTCAGAACTTCCAGTCACTGACCAAAGCCGCTGTCGATGGAACATACAACGATGACTTCTTTGAAGACGCCAAGACTGGCGCTGGCTATCAGAAACGAATTCGTGCTGTCGTACAGAATCTCAACCAGTCGTTCGCCGAAATCATGGCACGCGAAGGTCACTACTACGACATTACCGATTCGTCGAATGGTAATTCTGTGCAAAATGTCAGTCGAAAGGTCAAGGTCTTATCACGCGCCCACTATCTCAACCGTATTGAAGCTCTGATGAAGCGGACCCGGGGTCGTGAACTTCCCGGCACGTTCAACCCAATGATAGTGGCCGACCTCTTTCTCGAGCAATCACATCCCTGGGAAGCCCTTGCTAGACATCATATCGAGCAGGTAGCCAATTCGGTGATAGAGTTCTTAAAACATCTCGTTTCCCACATTGCGGACTCTTCGACAAGCGGCGCGCTGTTCCAGAAATTGGTCGAACCTGCGCTCAAGGACGTCGTCGGATTTGCCAGGCGCAAGACGGCGGATCTCCTTGCCCAACATCAGAAAGGGCATCCAATTACGTATAACCATTACTTCACGGAGACCATGCAGAATGTCAAGAAAGAAAGGAGTAGGGTAGAGCTCACACGTATCATTAAGGATGTCTTCAGTGTGACCTCACTGGCTCCTAATACTGAAGAACCACAGTTCACAACAATGGACTACCGTCCGCTGTTGGAGGCACTCATGGAGCACAACAACCCTGATATGAATTCCTATGCTTGCTCCGAGGCCTTGAACTGCATGCAAGCTTACTACAAGGTTCGTAGTTGCCAAGACAAGTCTTCCACAGCTCGTTGCTGCATGGTTTTGCTGAGATACGTTCTGACTGGTTAGGTTGCCTTCAAACGCTTCATCGACGACATCGCTGTCGAAGTCGTCGAAACCAATCTCATCGCGCAGCTGGGCGACATCCTGTCCCCGATCAAAGTCACGCAACTTGCCGCTGACGTAGTAACGAGCGTTGCAGGCGAGTCTGATGAGGGCCGTGCAAAACGTAGGCAGTTGAATAACCAGCTGGATGTGCTGATTCAGGGGCTAGAAACCTGCAAGAAGTTTGTGGTGGTGACATTGCACGGTATGTTCCCTATGCATCAATTCATTCGGCGTCATGAGTTTTGTAACAGAAGCTAATCTGTGGCTGTAAACAGATACATGTGATGTGGCAATTCTCTCACGACAACTTGGAACTTCTCTCTTGGACTCGTCGACACCTTCCCCTCGAACAGATTCAGATGAACTCATCACGAGAGATGAGTTAGAGGGATTTGATGAGACGGCTTTCACTGAAGCGCCAGAGCCAATTTCAGAGCCAGAGCCAGAGTCAGCGCCAGAGCCAGCGCCACCGGTCGAAGAGGACTATATTGATGAGGCGGTTGCTGAGCCCAAAGATGATAGCTGGGATGCGCTGTTTTCGCCAAGATCCGCGAAGAAGTCAAAGAAGTATAAAAGGGGTCCATAATCTTTCCAACTTTTCTTTAATATATCGAGCATGAACGTGCGTCCCTTGGTGTCACTCATGGTTTTTTTTCGATATGACTCTTGATCTGGGGCTCTAAAGTGATACTTAATCATGCAAAAACTGCTCAATACTATGGTGTTGTGCGATCTAGATTCGAGCGGAGGCACCAATGCAATTCTGGCACACATACATCTCACTGTCGGGAAACGCTGCTAATACTGCACCTTTCAAGACCTTCCCATGCTATAGTGCGTCAGACTTTTTTTTTAAGGACCTTGAGATCCTCGATGAGCAGGCTTTATGTCCTGTATATTACATTATTAGAGTGTAATAAGTTATAATTCTTGAATCGCTACTTAGCAGAGCATAAGATTCTTTGGGATAATATCAAGAGTGTATTTAATTCTGACTACTTTCTCGGTGATGAGGTCAGTCTGTGAGGCAGGAAGTTCAACATCTAAATACCGCTAGTGGCTATCCATCCTCGTCTGAGGAAAGGTCCGAAATCTCGGACTCCTCGTCCGACACTTCGTCCTCGATAGCCTCGCCGTCATCGTCCCACTCCGCACTCTCACTCAATCTGACATTTCTGCCAGTCAAGACATCGAACGCTCGCATTTCAATACTCGGAAGCGCATGCGTCAATATCCTCACTATTTTTGGGGCCGCCATCTGTGCTACAAGAACTTGCGCCTGCTTCTCCATATCCGCTTTCAGTTGAGGGAACCCCAATGGGGAGGAACCGCAACATGTGGCGTGCGCTGCCGAGGTGGTTAGGGGTGACTCGTTGGATAGACTGAGGTTGACGAGCACCTCGTTCAAACGTAGATTGGTGCTATGTTGTCGGGGTTTTAGAACAACGGCACAGATACTACGCATGCGCAGTCGCAAACGTCGTAGTGTAGTAAGAAGAGCGGCGATACTCGTGCAGACATGGAATCCTTCACCGTGCTCTTGGGTTTGCCCTGCAGATTCTGCAACACTGACACTTGAAGAACCATTGCAGGATGCCTGCTTTGAGTTAAGGATCTCCAGGAAGTCTCCATGTCACTGGCCGGACACGTGGAGCCCAGAGTGTCAGCGGAGGAGCCAGATAAGGGCCCGCCCCTGAAGATGCGCAGGCCTTGTGGCCCTTCTACTACGAATCTTCAGGGAAAATCACGGCGCCTGAGGCGAGCAAATGTG